GTGGAGTGTGCTTTTGGCCGTCTCAAAGGGAGATGGAGAAGCTTACTGACTCGCTGTGATCTCAGTGAAACCAATATCCCCATCGTTATTGCAGCTTGCTGTGTGCTCCACAATCTGTGTGAGAGCAAGGGGGAGACCTTTATGGCGGGGTGGGAGCTAGAGGCAAATAGCCTGGCTGCTGATTACGTCCAGCCAGACAGCCGGGCCATTAGAAGATCCCAGCGGGACGCCCTGTGCATCCGGGAGGCTTTGAAAGCTAGGTTCCTGAGTGAGCAGGGCAACCAGTGACTTTTCAGTTTGTGGACAGAAAAGCTGAACCTGCCCCCGTTTCTTTACCCAGTTCATTTTGACTATCCTCTCCAGTTACATACCCCCTTCACCCCCTTCCCCTTCCCAAAAAATAAAATCAGTTCTATTTTGTTAATGAACACCCTTGTCTGTATTGCTGTTTTCGCGGGAATGTTTTAAACCGGGGACGCAGACTGTGGCGGGGGGCGGGTTTAGTGTTCTGATGCAAATGATGCTTCTAAACTCCCGGAATGACAGGCTCCGCACTGGTGGACTGGTTATTTCAATGGAGCCTGCCAGCACTCCCGGGGGGGACTGCGTGTATGTGTCGGCTATGTGACTTTCTGGCAGGGGGAGTAGGGTTACAGATCCCCTGCTGCGTGGATCTGTGAGCCAGGATAAGGACCGCTGCATAAGATCTGTAACTGCCCTCCCCCGCCACAAAGTCACAGAGCAACCCCCCCCCCCAGAACATGAAAACCACCTCCAAGACTGACCAGGGTAACCAGTGACTGCACTGTGTATGTGTCCTGATGCTGGACCTGACCCCGCCTCTGTACCCTGCTAAAGGTGACTGTCCTGTCCAATTACCAAGCCCCTTCCCCCCCTTCAGACAGACTCTCCTCCAAAAGAACAGGATGGAAACAGTAATGAACAGGAACAAATATTTTATTATGAACCACACATGAAACGTGGGGGGTGAAACTTGCACGGGGGCTTGTGTGAGGTGGGTAGGAAAGGACTTTTCAAATTTTGGGGAATGTCAGCCTTCTAGTGCCTTAGCAGTCTGCAGGGGTTGACTGAAAGTTTTAACGGCCCTTGCCGCCCCTCCTTCTTTGGACTTTGGGTGAGGGGGGTGTGGGACTTGGTGGCGGGGGAGGGCGGTTAGAGATAGACTGCAGCGGGGCTCTGTCCTCCTGCCTCCGGTCTTGCAGAACATCCACAAGGCGCCGGAGCGTGTCCGTTTGCTCCCTCATTAGTCCAAGCAGCTTTTCAGTAGCCTGTTGGTCCTCCTGACGCCACCTCTCCTCCCGTTCCATGACTGCTCGGTGCATTTGTGACAAGTTCTCCCTCCACTGTGTCTGCTGGGCTGCCTGGGCTCGGGAGCAGCCCATTAGTTCTGAGAACATGTCTTCACGCGTCTTCTTCTTCCTCCGCCTAATCTGCGCTAGCCTCTGGGAGTGTGCTGACAGGCTGGGTTGGGAGACAGTCGCAGATGTGTCTGTGTGAATGGTAAAAAGGGAGTGAATTCCTGAGACAGATAAATGATGTTGTGTACAAAGAACCTACTCTTTCTCTGTGAACAAAACCATGCACTCCACCTCTCACATGCGCACTCAGGACAAGGTCGAATTTTCGGCCCTCGCCTTCAGTGCCTGTGGACTTGCGGTGGTCTTGGAGTGATCTGAGAAGCGTGGCTGGACACCTGAACTTCTGTAGCGGGCAATCATGGTAAGCCGTAGACTTGTGGCTGCTTAAAACTCTAATAGTAGCACTGGCCTCCTTTCACATTGAAAGCAATGCCAGTCTCAATGCCAGCAACCAGGCAAGCATGAACTCGGCCCCTGTCCCACCCCCTCGCGGCTGTCCCAGGGAAAGATCCCTGTATGCTGCCCCTCTCCCTCCACCGCGTGGCTGTAAAGCAGTCCCAATACTAACATTCCCCTCCCTAATTCAAAGCAGGGCGTCATGAGCGACATCACCCTCCTGAGGATCCCGGACACCCAGAGAGAACGCATGCTGCGGGAAAGCATGCAGAAACCGGGGCCGTATGCCGCCATGCTATGTCGGGCCATGATCCCGGAGTACTTGATTGTGGCGTGGAGGGGGCATGTCTGCTACCACGGAGGGCCCACTAAGATCGCCCTACCCCGGAACCTGATCAACAGGCTTGAGCTCTACCTCCACGAGACCTACGAGGAGTTCTCCTACGAGGATTTCTCGTCGATCCCCGGCCACATTGACCGGATTTTCGCGTAGGTGCACTGGGACTTTGGAGTGGAGCGTCTTGGGCCTGGGAATCATGTAGTAACGGACATTGTGAAATTTTTTTAAAATACTTGGGACTAAATTGAGAAGAGCCTAAGACAGAGAAATCATGCAAAACCCATTTGTTACCTTTGTAAATATTCCTGTTTTGTACCTGATTATTTTTTTACTAGTTTACAGCACTTTTATAAATATACATTGTTAATAGTATAAATATTACCGTTCTGTTTTAAATAAATGTTTACATGTTTACAGCACTTACTGCTTGATCCTTCCCCTGATTCTGTGTCCGGGGTAAGGGATGGGGACGGTTGGTAGGGGATCTCGGTAAGGGTGATGAAGAGCTCCTGGCTGTCGGGGAAATCAGCGGTGCCAGCGCTGTCGACTGCCTCGTCCTCCTCATCTCCTTCTTCATCTTCCCCGTCCGCTGTCATGTCCGACGAGGAACCGGCCGCGGACATGATCCCATCCTCGGAGTCCACGGTCAGGGGTGGGGTAGTGGTGGCGGCCGCTCCCAGGATGGAATGCAGTGCCTCGTAGAAACGGGATGTGTGGGGCTGGGATCCGGATCGTCCGTTAGCCTCTTTGGTTTTTTGGTAGCCTTGTCTCAGCTCCTTGATTTTCACGCGGCACTGCGTTGCATCCCGGCTGTAGCCTCTCTCTGCCATGGCTTTGGAGATCTTCTCGTAGATCTTAGCATTCCTTCTTTTGGAGCGCAGCTCTGAAAGCACGGACTCATCGCCCCACACTGCGATGAGATCCAAGACTTCCCGATCAGTCCATGCTGGGGCCCTCTTTCTATTAGATTGCACGGCCATCTCTGCTGGAGAGCTCTGCATAGTTGCCACTGCTGCTGAGCTCCCCTCGATGTCCAAAGAGGAACTGAGATTCAAACTGCCCAGACAGGAAAATGAAAATGAATTCAAATTTTCCCGGGGGTGTGGCTGGTCAGAGCATCCGAGCTCGGACTGCTGTCCAGAGCGTCAACAGAGTGGTGCACTGTGGGATAGCTCCCAGAGCTATTACCGTCGATTTCCATCCACACCTAGCCTAATTCGATATGGCCATGTCGAATTTAGCGCTAATCCTCTCGTTGGGGAGGATTACAGAAATCGATTTAAAGAGAGCTTTATGTCGAACTAAATGGCTTCCTGGTGTGGACGGGTGCAGGGTTAATTCGATATAACGGCGCTAAAGTCGACATAAAAGCCTAGTGTAGACCAGGCCTGAGAAGGAAGGACCCGCCCCCGAATTGCAGCCGAAGAATGAAGCGACGGCAGCAATTTGGCGGCAGGTCCTTCCTTCTGAGAGGGACTCAGGGACCCGCCGCCGAATTGCCGCAGAAGAAGCAGCGGCGGTAGAGCTGCCGCCAAAGTGCCGCCGATTGCGGCTCCCCCCCCCCCCCCCCTCGCCTCGCTTGGGCAGTAGAGCTGCGCCCCTCCGCTTTGCGCGCCCGAGGCAAGTGCCTCACTCGCCTTGCCCTTGTTACGGCACCGGGCATGGGAACAACAATGTAAAACGATTGCCTCTCTAAACAGGGAGGATGTAGTTGTCCTAAACACTTTAAACAACTCTCACAAAGTGGATCAGGAAGGCACTTATGGCAGTCACTTCCTAACCAGCAGAGAGGAACCACCACTATGAAAATGTTTTATGCTGAGGATTTTAGCAAAAGTGGTAAAAACATAAATCTAATAATTTCATTGAATTAAATAATGGTCATGGGCTACTGTAGATATACCTGGCTGAGCATCAATTTGAGTTAAAAGAAAATCCCAAGGGGAATAATCAGCACCATCAGACTACATAGGTGTCATAACTATAAAGGGAAGGGTAACAGCTTTCCTGTGTACAGAGACTCCAAAACCTTTTACCTGTAAAGGGTTAAGAAGCTCGGGTAACCTGGCTGACACCTGACCCCAAGGACCAATAAGGGGACAAGATACTTTCAAATCTTGGGGGGGGGAAAGGCTTTTGTGTGTGCTCTTTGTTTTAAGGGGTTGTTCGCTCTTGGGACTGAGAGGGACCAGACATCAATCCAGGTTCTCCCCATCTTTCTAAACAAGTCTCTCTTATTTCAAAATTTTACCTTTTTCTTTAATTAAAAGTCTTCTTTTTAAGAACCAGATTGATTTCTCCTTGTTTTAAGATCCAAGGGGGTTTGGATCTGTATTCACCAGGAGTTGGTGAAAGGAAGGAGGGGGGAAGGGTCAATTTCTCCTTGTTTTAAGATCCAAGGGGGTTTGGATCTGTATTCACCAGAAGTTGGTGAAAGGAAGGAGGGGGGAAGGGTCAATTTCTCCTTGTTTAAGATCCAAGGAGTTTGGATCTGTATTCACCAGGGAATTGGTGAAAGGTTTCTCAAGGCTTCCCAGGGAGGGAATCCAGTGAGAATGGTGGCAGCGGGACCAGAGCTAAGCTGGTAGTTAAGCTTAGAAGTTTTCATGCAGGCCCCTACATTTGTACCCTAAAGTTCAAAGTGGGGATACAGCCTTGACAATAGGCCATTATCAACTCCAGTTCTAGAGGAAGAATTGAATCTAAATAGGCTTCTTTTTGTTTCACAAAGTACTTACAGAGAGAGAGAGAAAGGACACCCCCCACACACATCCCTAGGGCTGGGTCCAAGAAGAAACTCACTCCTGGAGTCCCCCCTTTTCCTAGGCTGCTTGGCTGCCCTGCGCCAGGTACAGTCCCAGATTTTAAAGTGGGGAAGGCCTATGATGATGATGATCTGCTCTGACCCCCCCGCAGAGACTTCCCCGGCCCGCTGGCAGGGAGCAGGGCCCTGCGAGAGACAAGCGGCGGGTGCAGCCCTGGTGTCTGCGCGGGCAGGGGTCCCTGGGCACCGAGCTATTCAGCTCGGTGCCCCGCCCCAGGGCCCGCGCTGCGGCCAGGCAGCCAAGCCCCTTTCCTCACGGCCATGGGGGGGGGGGGTCCCCCTGCCCACACTGGGACACGAGGAAGGCGCGCGGCGCCTCCTCAGCTGGGCAGGCGGGGAAGGAAGGGGGCCGCGCGGGCAGACACGAGACGGGACCGGGGCGGGCCTCCAAGGCTCCTCCCGCGCGCGCCCGGCCCTACGATTGGCTGGCGCCTGGCGGGCCGGGGCTGGCGCCAATTCGAAGAGCGGGTCCGGAGCGCCAGCCAGCTCCGGCCAGTCCCGCCGCGTCCCGCGCAGCCCCGCCATGCCCGCCGCGCCCGAGCAGCAGCGCCCGGCGCCCTCGCCGCACGGGGAGCTGCAGTACCTGGGGCAGGTCGAGCACATCCTGCAGCGCGGCCACCGGAAGGAGGATCGGACCGGGACCGGCACCATCTCCGCGTTCGGGCTGCAGGCGCGGTACAGCCTGAGAGGTGACTGCGCCGACCCGGCCCGCTCCCCGCAGCCTCCCCCTCCTTTGGGCCCCCCTCCACAGAACCCCTCCCCCATCCCCTTCTGCCCCCCCCATAACTCCCCCTCCCCACATCCCACCAGCTGCCCCCCGGCCTGGTGACTGGCAGGCCTGCCAAGCGCTTCACATCCCCCCGAGCTGGCTGCCAACATCCATCTCCTCTTGCCCTCAGACTCCCCACCCCCATTGCTGTTTGCCCCACTCTTGGCTGCACCACTCCCCCGCCCCCCCCAACTTGTCATGGACATCTGAGGGAGTGCTGTTCAACCCCCTCCTGTTGTCTTCTGGGTGACAGCCTCTACCCTTCTTGCAGAGAAGGGGAGGCCATTGTGCCCTGGCCCTTTCCTCTGCTGCCACTGCTGAACTCTGCTCTGGTCTAGACCCCATCTTTATAGGCAGGGATTGTGTGGGGGTAATCCAGATATGGGCAGGTGTAACTCCCACCGACAGGGAAGAGCCTCCAGTTGCCCTACTTCCTTACAGATAAAGTCCCTAAACCCATCTGTGCCTCTCCTTTTTTTTTTTATTGCCCTAGGTGGGGGATGGCTGAGGCCCCTTGCATCTGTCCCCCATTGTTGTCTTATGGAGAAAAAACAAGAGAAGAGGATAGGCCTGATCCAGGCTAACCTTCTGAGACAGTTTTACCAATAACCTGTCTGTCAAGTATCCTAGGTCTGATTCACCTCCATGTTAGTAAAGTAGGCTTGACCAGAACTTTATCTTGAGCCTCTGAATTCAACTGCATGTATGCCTATTTTACCTTGCCATAGGCTCTTAATTGCACCCCATGGTTGAGTTTTATGAATGATCCATTTCTAATTAATCTCTGTCTTTATCTGGCAATGTACTTGGCCCCAAAGACCATTTTTTAGGAATAAGGTTGGGTGCTTGTGTTCCTTGCCCTAGCAAAGCAGTAGTAGAATTTACACTCATCACTGCATGCTTTGCTGACTATTACAGTGCTGTACTAAGTTCTAAACGAGTGCTCCAATAAACTAGGCTCTTATTGTGATAGTACATAATGCACAACAGATCAATATCTAAGCTTTAACACTTTTCGTATTTATAAGTTAAAAGCAATCCGTGGTATTTGATGAGTGAGAATTGACTTTGCTGCTTTGACACTTCAAAACTCTTTTTCAGATCAGTTTCCTTTGTTGACAACAAAACGAGTGTTCTGGAAGGGAGTGCTGGAAGAGCTGCTATGGTTTATCAAGGTATGATGCATGGTTGTTTAAATGTAGTTATGTGCATTGATAGTGCTGTCTATAGAATATATCATACTATGGACTAGTGTATTTGAAGCACTTACAGAGGTTTCCATTCATACAGGGAATAAACAAGTTATGACATTCTAGTATTTTTTCAACTTATAAATAAGTCCATTATCTTCAAAACATTTTATTAATTTTGGTTAAGGCGCTAGTACAATCTGGTGGGAATGTTGGTTAAATCTTACCTTGCTTCTTTTTAGTGAAATATTGTGAAGTCATGAAGGACTTGTGTACACTAGAAAGTTTTGCTCCTTAAACTATACCGCTGTAGTTAAAATAGGAAAACCCTGTGTGAATGCTTTTATACTGGTATAGCTTATTCCTGTTCTGTAACCAAAATGAGATACTCCAGTATAAGGCACTGGGTGAGTGGTAGGGATAGCTCAGTGGTTTGAGCATTGGCCTGCTAAACCCAGGATTGTGAGTTCAGTCCTTGAGGGGGATCTGGGTCAAAAATCTGTCTGGGGCTTGGTCCTTTGAGCAGGGGGTTGGACTAGATGACCTGAGGTCCCTTCCAACCCTGATATTCTATGGTATAACTGCATCTATCCTAGGCTTTTTACCAATACAACTGTTGGCAAAAAAAACCAACAAAAAACCCCCACACACACTTCTAATAGACAATCACACCTCTAACAAGCATAGCTTATACTGGTAAAACTTGTGTAGACAAGTGCTAAGATGGTGTGTTGCCCTATAGATGTTCCATGATGCGGTTATGAGTAGCATTTGATTAAATGCTGGTACATCGGGACTTGAAAAATCAATTTATCCAGATATCAGTTTATTGAAGAACATTTAAAAAAGAAAAGAAAATGAAGGCTTATCTTTTCAACTGTAAGCGATAGAACCTTTCAAATGTCAACCAGCACAGTGCTGTACTCTGAGACTGTAGATGTGTTTTGGTAGCAGAGAATATTTAAGTCTCTATTCGCTTTCAGTGCTATTTTAAACTCAGGGGATTTGTTTTCTTACTCTCATCTCTAGTTTTTATACAAAGTGGCAGAGTAGAATATGGGAGCCTACCATCTGCTCAGTGACTAAACAGAACTTCAGGCTATTTCTAATTGGCATCTTTCAGGAGCATGTAATTTAAGCTTCAAGAAAACAGAAAAAGCGAGGAAGAGAGAAGGGACTGCATAATCTTTTTCTCCCAAAATGACTTGTAAGCCAGTTCACAAAGGCTGACAGCAGGTGCATCAGGAGTAGCAGAATTGTACAGACATGGAACAAGTTTTTGTGGTTGTTGTTATATCAATCAAAAAGTAAAACCTTGTTTGCTGAAGTGCCTGTGCACAAGCAACTGTATGCGATCACATTTAGCCTTGAACCTCCATTGGCCTACAGTATACAAGGCTAGAGATGAATTAATTAGATGACTAGAGCAGTATAATTCAAGTCTCAGTAATATATTGTTTATAACGTAGTTTTATTGTGTGTGCACGTACAGGAGCCAGATCCTGAGGCTTAATCCCCAGACTATAGTATAATTTAGGACCACCATTTAAAGTCTAGCTCTTTATCTGGGCAGGTAGAATTGCTTTTATATTTCTTTCACCATATAGGGTTCAACAAATGCTAAAGAGCTCTCTGCAAAAGGAGTGAAGATTTGGGATGCCAATGGATCACGTGAATTCTTGGATAAACAAGGTTTCACTGACAGAACAGAAGGGGATTTGGGACCAGTGTATGGTTTCCAGTGGAGACACTTTGGAGCTGAATACAAAGATATGAATACAGGTGAGGAAAGTAGATAACTTCAACAGGGGAAAACTAGAGATTTTATCTTCAGTGCTTAGTGAGACTGACAGGATTACTGTGGTACCTCACTTTCAGGAGGTTATGGAGGTATAGAAAGATTATAACGAGGACATTTATAATGGAAACTGAGAGCCAGAGTAAGTAGATCTTTTTGGGAGGTTATACTGAGCTTTTTGGAAAGCCTACCATTATGAAATAGGCTACTGCCTGCAATACTGCATATTTGTAGAACAGGTGAATCATAGGCAGTACACTGTTCTGCTAATGTGCTGGTATGATCACCTGCAGGTGGGAGGATATTTTGGTTTCCATACCCATTTAGTTCTTTGCCTCTCTGCTGAGGCTGCCAGCAAAGGTGCCAATTGTAACAAGACTTTTTTTTTTTTTTTTTTAAACTACACTAAAATCACTCATTTCAGAGAGCTGCTATTATTAATTTGTATAATTAGCACATTAATTTGTGCTGTTTACAGAAAGTATCATTGGAAAATCATGACTCTCCCACGCTTAGCTTTCAGAATGATGTTGGGGGTGGTGAACTAATGTTTTATTCAACCATCAAAAAGTATTTTCTCCATCTAAAAAGGCAAGTAAAAATGTAAAGAAGAACTACAGTACTTCACACTATCAACCTGGGCATAATTTCTTTTTTAAAGAGAGAGCACTGTTATACCAGAACAATCTCCACATATTCATATGTTGGTATAGGACAAAGAAAAGGCAGGTAGTCAGTCTATTGGATAGCAGGCCAGTAAAAATACAAATGATCAGCACCAAGTAACCAAAATTGTTTTATGGCCCCCTGGCCTCATATTTTATTTGTTCTTCAAATTTCTCTTGGGTTAAGGTACCTTTGATCTCCCATGTAAAGGCTAAGCCTTTGTTTAAAATGTTACAGAAATTTATTTAATTGAGGTTTAACAGTTGTCATGATATGAACTAATAGTTTGTAGCATCTTGTTCCCCATTGAAATCTGGCTTTTGTGCATTCTCAAACACAGAACATTAAGGGTGATAAAAATAGCATGTTCCACTCTAAGACCCACTGTCAGATATACAGACAGACCTCTCAATTATTCTCCAAGGTCTCAGCTTTCATTTAAAGTTTTAGCTGCCATGCTTGAGAAGAAAATGTTCAAACATGGGCCGTGTCTACACTGTGGGCACTATAGCAGCATAGCAACAGTGCTGTAGCTATGCCACTGTAGCCGCAAAGTGTGGCTGCAGACTACAGCGATGGAACGGGGTTTTCCATTGCTGTAGGAACTCCATCTCCCCAAGCGATGATAGCTAGGTCAACAGAAGCATTCTTTCATCAATCTAACTGTGTCTACTCTGGGGGTTAGGTTTGCATAGTTACAGCACTCAGGGGTGTGGATTTTTCACACCTCTGAGTTTTGTAACTATGTTCATGTACGTTTTAAATGTAGACCTGGCCTTGGGGTGTAAGGATGCAGACACTTACGTGAGTTTGCAGAGAGAGTGAAAGAATAGCTCTGAGGTATGTATGACCCCATTTCAGCGGGTACTAACCCCGATGTCAGTGATGATGCTTTAAGTGTCAACAATAACTATTTCACTTCTCAAAGCATGCAAGAAAAGAGGGGACAGCCACACCACCCTTTCCCAAAGCTTGGAGCACTCATCTGGGGCCCCCAAAGGACTACCCAGAAGAGAGAGGGGGAAGGCTCAGAAAATGTATTAAGGTGCAAGCCTTTAACAACCCAAGGTGGGATCAGAAGAGGGCACAATTAGTGTAATTTTCCTGAAGGGTGTGGGCTTGGCTTTCAAAAGTATTTTTTGGGGCAGCTCTAAGCTATTGGCAAAACAACCTTAGGCTGTCTGACTTAGCCCTGGTCTACACTATGAGGTTAGGTCGAATTTAGCCATGTTAGGTCGATTTTATAAGCAATGCATCTACACAACCAACCCCGTTCCATCGACCTAAAGGGCTCTTAAAATCAACTGCTGTACTCCTCCCCGGCGAAGGGGTAGCACTAAAATCGACCTTGCTGAGTCAATTTGGGGTAGTGCGGACGCAAATTGACACTATTGGCCTCCGGGAGCTATCCCAGAGTGCTCCAATGTGACCACTCTGGACAGCACTTTCAACTCCGATGCACGAGCCAGGTACACAGGAAAAGCCCAGGGAAATTTTGAATTTAATTTCCTGTTTGGTCAGCGTGGCGCACTCAGCAGCACAGGTGACCATGCAGTCCCCCCAGAATCGCAAACGAGCTCCAGCATGGAGTGAACGGGAGACACTGGATCTGATTGCTGTATGGGGAGAAGAATTTGTGCAGGCAAAACTCCGATCAAAAAGAAGAAATGCTAATATATATGCCAAAATCGCACAGGGCATGATGGACAGAGGCTACAACAGGGACACACAGCAGTGCTGCGTGAAAGTTAAGGAGCTCAGGCAAGCTTACCAAAAGACAAAGGAGGCAAACAGTTGCTCCGGGTCAGAGCCCCATACATGCTGCTTCTATGATCAGCTGCATGGCATTCTAGGGGTGGAACCCTACCACTACCCCACCACTGTCCATGGACACCTGCAAGGGGGGAGTCTCACGCAAGAAGGAGGAGGATTTTGTGGATGAGGAAGAGGAGGAGGAGAATCCGCAGCAGGCAAGCGGAGAATCTGTTCTCCCTGTCAGCCAGGATCTTTTCATCACCCTGGAGCCAATACCCTCCCAAGGCGGGTTCCCGGACCCTGAAGCTGGAGAAGGCACCTCTGGTGAGTGCACATTTGTAACTGCACTACAGGGTTTAAAAGCAATTGTGTTTAATGTTTGATTTGCCCTGAAGACTTGGGATGCATTAGAGGCCAATACAGCTACTGGAAAAGTCTGTTAATGTGTCTGGGGATGGGGTGTGAATCCTCCAGGGACATCTCCATGAAGCTCTCCTGGAGGTACTCTGGAAGCCTTTGCAGAAGGCTTCTGGGGAGGGTTGCCTTATTTTGTCCTCCGTGGTAGGACACTTTACCACGCCAAGCCAGTAACAAGTAGTCTGGAATCATTGCAGCACAAAGCATGGCAGCGAATAGTCCTGGGTTTTGGTCGTATTCAAGCAACGTTCGGTCAATATCTTTCTGTGTTAGCCTCAGGAGAGTGATATCATTCATGGTCACCTGGCTGAAATAGAGGAATTTTTGTAAGGGAACAGTAAAAGGACCCCGTTCGTGCTGGGCTGTTTGTGCTTGGCTAAAAGGGATCATCCCTGAGAATAGCTATGCGGTAGGGGGAGGGGTGAAGGGCTCATCCCAGAGAATAGCCATGTGGTGGAGTGGGGGGAGGGGTGTGCTGCACATCCACCTGAAAACCGCAGCCCCTCCTTTTAAATGGCAAACCCAACTGGCATTGCTTGCTATGGGAAAGGAGGGCACTGCAGTTTGAAACCATTCACACATGGTTATGAAGGCGGAAGACGCCAACCTCGTGTACCCTTTGGCTTACCGTAGCTGCTTGGAAACCGAATTCTGTTGCCCAGTTGTGTGTGATGTGTCACCATACCGGCAGGCGCTCAATACAAAAGGCAAAATGCGACCTTGTACCTAAAGCACATGTGCTGTCTGCTGTGAATTGCTTGATTCACTGTGAAAGAGTCTCCCTTTTGTTCTCAGAAATGTATCTTCTTAAATTCTACTCTCCCTTTTTATCCTCCTGCAGGTGCAAATATTTCTACGCTCCTCCTATCTGCTCTGTCCCAGAGGTTATCGCAGATTAGAAGGCAAAAAAACCCTCACTCGTAATGACATGTTTTCCAAGCTCATGCAGTCCTCCTGCACTGATAGGGCACAGCTGAATGCCTGGAGATATACAGTGACAGAGGCCAGGAAAGCATACAGTGAGCGTGATGAGAAGAGGTAGGAGGCGATACCGAGGCTAATGGGGGAGCAAATGGACATGCTCAGGCGTCTGGTGGAGCTGCAGGAAAAGCAACAAGAGCACAGACCGCCACTGCATCCACTGTATAACTGCCTGCCCTCCTCCCCAAGTTCCATATCCTCCTCACCCAGACCCCCAAGAACGTGGGGGTGAGGGGAATGCTCCGGGTACCCAGACACTCCACTCCAGAGGATGGCCCAAGCAACAGAAGGCTGTCATTCAAACAGTTTTGATTTGTAGTGTGTCTACAATAAGCGATGTGGCCTTGTCCTCCCCTACTCCCCCACCCCACCCGGGCTACCTTGTCAGTTATCTCAATTTTTTTTAATTAATAAAGAAAGAACACATGGTTTCAAAACAATAGTGACTTTATTTCCTTTGTCAGCTGTGATCGAAGTGGGGAGGGTGGTTGGCTTACAGGGAATTAAAATCAACAAAGGGGGCGGGTTTGCATCAAGAAGAAACACACACAACGCTCACACGGTAGCCTGGCCAGTCATGAAACTGGTTTTCAAAGCCTCTCAGATGTGCAGTATGCCTAGCTGTGCTCTTCTAATCGCCCTGGTGTCTGGCTGCTCAAAACTGGTGGTCAGGCAATTTGCCTCAACCTCCCACCCCGCCATAAACGTCTCCCCCTTACTCTCACAGATATTATGGAGCACACAGCAAGCAGCAATAACAATGGGAATGTTGGTTGCGCTGAGGTCTGATCTAGTCAGCAAACAGCACCAGCGAGCTTTTTAACATCCAAAGGCACATTCTACCACCATTCTGCACTTGCTCAGCCTATAGTTGAACTGCTCCTCACTACTGTCCAGGCTGCCTGTGTATGGCTTCATGAACCATGGGCGCAAGGGGTAGGCTGGGTCTCCAAGGATAACTATTGGCATTTCAACATCCCCAACAGTAATTTTCTGGTCTGGGAAGTAAGTCCCTTCTTGCAGCTGTTCAAACAGCCTAGAGTTCCTAAAGATGCAAGCGTCATGCACCTTTCCCAGCCATCCCACGTTGATGTTGGTGAAACGTCCCTTGTGATCCACCAGTACTTGCAGCACCATTGAGAAGTACCCCTTGCAGTTTATGTACTGGCTGCCAAGGTGGTCCAGTGCCAAGATAAGGATATGCATTCCGCCTATCGCCCCACCACAGTTAGGGAACCCCATTGCAGCAAAGCCATCCACTATGACCTGCACATATCCCAGAGACACTACTCTTGCTAGTAGAAGGTTAGTGATTGCCTTGGCTACTTGGATCACAGCAGCCCCCACATTAGATTTGCCCACGCCAAATTGATTCCTGACTGACCGATAGCAGTCAGGCATTGCAAGCTTCCACAGGGCTATCGCTACTTGCTTCTCAACTGTCAGGGCAGCTCTCATCTTGGTATTCCTGCGCTTGAGGGCGGGGGAAAGCAACTCACCAAGTTCTAGGAAAGTGGTCTTACGCATACGAAAGTTTCGCAGCCACTGGGAATCATCTCATACCCGCAACACTATGCGGTCCCACCAGTCTGTGCTTGTTTGCCAGGCCCAGAATCGGCGTTCCACTGTATCAACCTGCCCCACTGCTGCCATGATGTCCCAATTGCCACATCCCGTGCTTTCAGGAACATCTGTGTCCATGTCCTCCTCACAATCGTCCTCGTGCTTGTGGCTCCTAGCCAGGTTCTGCACATACTGCAGGATAATGCGCGAGGTGTTTACTATGCTCTCAACAGCAGCGGTGAGCTGAGCAGGCTCCATGCTTGCCATGCTATGGCATCTGCATGGGTAACCCAGGAAAAAAGGCACGAAATGATTGTCTGCTGTTGCTTTCACAGAGGGAGGGAGGGGAGACTGATGACATGTACCCAAAACCACCCGCGATAATGTTTTTGCCCCATCAGGCACTGGGAGCTTGACCCAGAATTCCAATGGGCAGCGGAGACTGCAGGGACTGTGGGATAACTACCCACAGTGCACCGCTCTGTGAGTCAATGCTAGCCATGGTACTGAGGACGCACTCCGCCGACTTAATGCGCCTAGTGGGGACATACACAATTGACTGTATAAAATCACTTTCTAAAGATCGACTTCTATAAAATCGACCTAATTTTGTAGTGTAGACATACCCTTATTTAAATCTTGTTTGGTAACTTTCTTCAGATTACTCAGGCCAAGGAGTGGACCAGCTGCAGAATGTAATCGACACAATCAAAAACAATCCAGATGACAGAAGAATCATCATGTGTGCTTGGAATCCCAAAGGTACAGAAGTGTGTGTGTGTGTGTGTGAAGTGAATGTAGTTGCACCTTACCAAGTTGCATGCTAAGCTATTTCATTGGTGCTCATTTAGTCCTGAAAGCTTGCATAATTACCAGATCCTGTGTCTACAGCCAGCTCTGGTGGTGGTTACATTTTTGTTGCAAGAAAAGGTGAGCTTACACAACTGTTATGTGATTTCATGTTCTATAAATGGTTGGGTGAATTATAACCTGGATTCTCCTATTTCTCATGATTCTCACTGATGTGAGAGGATATTCAGGCCCCAAAACATCCTGTATGATTTCAAACCTTTTTTGTCTTAGCACAAATGGAAATACATGATTATCACTGCCCCCCTACATACAGTCGCTATTCAAAGACGCTTTGCAGATAATAAATGTTTTTTTAACTTGTTTTTTAAGAAAGCTCAGAATTGAAAAATATAATCAAGCAGCTGGTTTTTTTTACTTTGTATTAAATTATAGGATTATACTAAAACTTGGGAAGGGAGGGAAGAAGAGAACAAAACTTAAAAAAATACAGTGCTCTTTTTCGTTGTTGTTAGAATCTTTTCTGAAGATAGGAGCCTGTTTAAGAACTTTAGGAATTAAAGGTACTCGCCAGCTAGAAGAGCGGGAGATGCCAACAAGCTCAAAATGATCATTTTAGCTGTTTTCCCTGCTATAGTTAAAGAGACAGTTTCCAAAAAGGCATGCTGGGGAAAGGTTCCCATTAAAGGGCAACTACGGTAGGTGGAAGGTTAATAGGGATCAGGCAGGTCAAAGGAGTGTGACACCTGGGCTTAAACTGCAGCAAGGGAGGTTTAGGTTGGACATTAGGAAAAAGTTCCTAACTGTCAGGGTGGTTAAACATTGGAATAAACTGCCTAGGGAGGTTGTGGAATCTCCATCTCTGGAGATATTTAAGAGTAGGTTAGATAAATGTCTATCAGGGATGGTCTAGACAGTATTTGGTTCTGCCATGAGGGCAGGGGACTGGACTCGATGACCTCTCGAGGTCCCTTCCAGTCCTAGAGTCTATGAATCTATGATGTCCAGATATCAGTTTAAGATCAACAAAGCTGAAACAGGGTTCTTAATCTTCCCCCCGCAATTCTTCCCTTTTTTCTCAGTCAGTGGACACCATTATCTTCTCTGTCACTTGGCATCTTTAACTTGACCATTTCTCTAGATTCTAACATTCAGGCTGTGTCTAAATCATGGTTTCCCTAACTGTGGTGCATCATATATTCCATCAGTTCACTTCACAGCCTTTTTTAAAGAAGGTGGTACATGAACCAGTAAGTTTGGGCCCTGCTGGTCTAAATCTTGTTGATCCTTCCGCCTATACATCTTCCTTCTCTGTCCACACAGTTCACGCATCTAGTGTCCCATGATTTTGACTCCTGCAACAGTCTCTTCTCTGACCTTGACAAATACAGTCTCACCCCACTTATAGCCATTCAGAATACTTCTGCAAAGATCATTGTCCTAGTTTGTTTGACCATATCACCCTCTTTTGCATCCCTTCTTTCTCCATCGCCTCAAACATAATCTACTTGCCTTTACCGTCAGGGCCCTTCACAGCCTATCCTCATGCTACCTATCATCTCTCATACCCTGCCAAGATGTTGACTCCCACCTCCACCTTGCCAGTGACATCAGCCTTTATCACCCACTTGTTCAGTTTTCTAAAAAGTACCTTCATGCGTTCTTCCATTCTGCCCCTCGTGCATAGGAAGAGCTGCACATAAACATCCACAAAACCACTTCATTGTCCTCCTTTAAATTCCTCCTTACAACTCTCCTTTGCTGTGATGTCTACACAAATGTGAGAAGAAGTAGGCATATTGTATTAATTTAGATCAGGGATTCTCAAACTGGGGGTCAGGACCCCTCAGGGGGTCGCGAGCTGTCAGCCTCCACCCCAAACCATGCTTTGCATCCAGCATTTATAATGGAGTTAAATATATTTTTTTAAAAGTGCTTTTCATTTATAAGGGGATCGCACTCAGAGGCTTGCTATGTGAAAGGGGTCACCAGTACAAAAGTTTGAGAACTACTGATTTAGATGGAATAAATGAGCCCAAAGAGCTAGTGGTGTTAACATGACCCTGAAACTGTTCAACCTTAAACAGTTTTAAAGAGGTTTGCTATACAGAGATTGCTGCTTGCTTGTATCAAGGCAAACACACTATTAAAAATCTTTTTAACCTTTTTATTAAAGATACAGAAAAGAAGGAAAAATAATTAAAGCATTTGAAATGTAAAGTAGTAAATAAGGCTTCCATTTTAACAACATCCCTTGTTTCCTGTCCCTTTAGCTGGAGAGAGCTGTTAAACACGAGGGTTTTCCTTCTAACAGCCTCTTTGATGGTGATAACTGTCTTTTTTTTGGGGGGGTGGGGGGGAAGGAAGAGAAGAAGTTAGTTGAGATGGGCTGGAGCTGTTGTTAACACTGTTGTTGGTGAAGTCCAATCCTGTTTCCTAGAAAACAAAACAAGACAGACGCTCAAGTGGGGAGAGAAAAGAACAACAAGGATAGAAAATGGAGTTCTGTCTCTGGTGTTGACTTTTACTTGCAAGTTCGCTGCTGGAGAAAGGCACAGCACATGGTCTTATCAACCATTCCAAGACCTGACAAATTTATTCCAGGATCAAGCTGTTTAGGTGATTACTTTTAGCTGCCTCTCTGGTCACAGGCTTACAGCAGTGTTGCAAAATATGCAGTTTTGGCCAGTGAAACCAGAGTCTTATTAGACAGAAGAAAGAAAGAAAAGAAATACATTGGAGAAGGAAAAAGGAAAATGTGTGTCTCTCTCTCTCTTATGCGTACACACACACGCATGTCCAAGTGGAGGTGGCGATGTCATCTGGCTCCCGCTCTCTGGTGTGGTCTGGTCAGGACACTCTTGAGGATCAGAATAATGAAGGCCCAATGGTGTTACAGCAAATACTGGGGTCCGAAAGTGACAACGGGGGTGGGGGTGGACATGATCATAAAGCTCGCTCCTTTCTTCTTCTTCTTCTATCTTTCAGTCAGCCATCGGTTTGGATTTTTCCCAAGTCATAGTCATCCCCTTGTTCTTTATTATTATTATCATCATCTTCATTATTTTATTTTATTTTATTTTCCTAAGGACCCCAAAAGGGAAGTGATGGGTGGAATAGCCCATCCCCTCATTATTTTGTCCACCAGTTGGGACTGATTTCCAACACGAAAATTTTGATCCACTGATTTCCAGTCCCACACTCTTCTTGTTTACGAGGCATGAGGTTAACACAGTCCTTGAGTTATATCAATAGGCCTTTTTGTTTGGACTAATTGTCTTTGTCTTCCTTTTGCATCTTTTCTCATCAACATTTGTTGTAATAGGTTATTATAACATTTTTATGAACTTTCACTTCACATGTAAGCTCACAATTAGGGTAATAATTGGGCCAATAAATTTACAGCAGGTGGCAGGAGTGCTCTGAATGCTGCTTATCATGCTGATCAGTATTGTCTCATTGTTCCCATGTGCTCCCTCGTTTGTCTCTGTCCACCTGTTACTTTTTGTCTTATACTCTCTGAGGCAGTGGATGTCTTCCACCCCTCCCCTCCCCCCCGTCTGTGCAGTGCTGGTCCATGATGGATTCTGAGGTGCTATTGCAATACAAAGAATAAAAATTAGAGGCAGGAACTTGTTTAAGAAGGAAAACATAGGCTGAATGACTAAAGCCCTGAATGCTGCAAACACTTGACACGTGCTTAATTTTACTCATGAGAATAATCTCATAAGATCAATAGGACTAATTATGTGAGTAAAATTAAGCATGTGCATAAGTCTTTGCAGTATGAGGGCCTAAAACCTTTTTTCCAGTGGAATTTCTAGATGTGATTTTCCTCTGTCCACCAACCAATTACTGTTAACAATAGCAGTTACATAATCAAGCAATTAATATCTGGTAGTGGTAATAGCAGGATTTAAAAAATATTAATAGTAAAAGCAATAGAACTACAATATGTGGTTCAATATTGCTATTTGATGTATTTATGCATATTTATTTCTATATACATATGTATATTTTTTTCTGCTCTTTCATGGTCTTAATACTGTTTTTTTCCCCCCTCCCCCTCTTCCTGTTTTGCATCTCCTTAGATATTTCACTAATGGCTTTGCCTCCATGCCACGCTCTGTGCCAGTTTTATGTTCTAAATGGTGAACTGTCTTGCCAGTTGTATCAGAGATCTGGAGACATGGGACTGGGGGTGCCTTTCAATATCGCCAGTTATTCACTGCTCACATATATGATTGCCCATGTCACAGGCCTGAAGGTATAGTATCCTTTTGCTTAGATATTTATAGTTTGAACAGAGGACTAAAACATTAAACATTTATGTAGGAAGAATTGGAATGAACACAACATTCAAAAGTTTAGATATGTACAGGAACGGGCTCTGTAGATGAATTGTATTTATGTATGTGTTAGTGGGGTGGCCTGCACTATAAGAACTCTATAAATCTCATAGTGATCACTTATATCAAAGAATCTCCAAATCTTGTGGAAAAAAATTGTCAAAATTAAGATGTGTCCTGGCTTATTTCACCAGTTTATCTACCAAAAATTTCCTTCTGGTGACAATGAAAAATGCCATAGGGTGTCTTTTTTTAGCTATCTTCAAGGTACTACCAACTTCCAGCCATTAGAAATGTCATAGCTTTTTTTTTATTGGACTAGACAGAGAATTAACTCTATGGTTGCTGTCAGATTCCAATTTGCATATTGTGATCTGCCTACCTAAATTCCTGCTATGGTTTCAATTGGATATTTTTCACTTCTGACTGTAAATGGTTGTGTAGTACTGCTCTTTTCTGTTAGCTACCTGTTGTCTTTCACCAAAGAGAGCTGCATTCTTGTGACTTGGTAGAGCAGAGATTTGTTAAATTTAAATACATTACAGTCTTTCTATCTTCTAAAAGCTGACTTCCTCACTTCTTAAAGATTCTGTGAGATTTTGACCCCCCTCCTGGTGCTATGATCAGGAGTTGCTACTTCCATTTTTAGCGTTGAGGAGAGGAGATAAAATGGGTGAGTGGAGAAAATCATGCTTTATAATAAGTAAGGACTTAATGTAAGTTTTATATCAAAGGCAATTAAAGTAAATGAAGTTTGATGTCTCCTCCACAACTTCATTTAATTATTACGTCTCCTCTTAAAGCAAAACACTTTTTGTGGGAGAGATCTGCAGTAAAGAACATAAACTCATATAAGACTTGTGAATATTTGCATAACATTAAATACTGCAATAACACTACAGACAAATTAAGTAAATAGCTCTGCTTTTATGATCCAGTATTTCATCACATGCTATGGCTAAGAATACTGCAGCAAAATAGTGCAGATACTTGCAGGAGCAGTAAACTCTAAGCACTAGACCTAAACCAATGATGATGGTAAATTGTCAGGCAATGATAAGCATTTTGTGTGACTTAAACCAGGGCGCTAGATACCTTTGCCATAAGTGAAAGAAATGTTAATGCAGACAAACCAACCTGTCAACTTTCCCAGTTAGAAAAAATACCAGCCCTTTTCCAAATGTGAGGATAGCTGCGATTTGTAGCATGCCATGAAGGCCAACAGATGTGGGCTATTTCAGATCAAGAGGCTGGGAAGAGAATTCCAAAGTTCAGGGCTCATTACAGAAAACATCCCGCTAGCAGCTCTGTTTTAAACCAAGACGACTGGCTTTCAAGTGCTTCTGCATACCATAACTGTGGCAATGGTGAGGCATGTTTCTCAGCTAGGCAGGTTCAAAGCCATTTTGGATATGTCTACATTGCTGCTGGGAACATGCCTCCCAGCGTGGGTGGACAGACTTGTGCCATCTCTGCTCAAGCTAGTGCACTAAAAATAGCATTGTAGCATGGGTGGTGGCTCCAGCTAGCTGCCCGAGTCCAAGGCCATCTGAGCTCGGGTGGCTAGCCGGAGCCACTGTCTTTTCCACAATAATCATTTTGCTAGTTTTAGCATGCTAGTGAGAGTCTGTCTACCTGGGCTGAGAGGCAGACTCCCAGATTTAGTGTAGACTTACCCTTAGGGCTTCAATTTGGCAGGATAGATCATGGTGCACTGGTTTCATGTGATCCTGCAAGGAACTCCTTTTAATGAGCTGCTTCGGTTTCTTAATAGAATTAAGTGCCACAGTATACATTACAGTAGTCTAATCTTGAGCTAGAAGCATGGATCACTGTAGCACTGTTAATACTTGCAACCTATCACTTCAAGGTAGATGGAGACAGCTGTATTTCTCACTACCCCCATCTCCTTCCACTTGTGTTAACAGATAAATATGAGTGCTCAGTTGCAAAATCTTTGTTGTAGAACTTCATACTCTGCTTAGAGTAGCTTAAAATAATGATCGGTTACTTTAGGGAAAGACAATATTTGAACTTGTAAGAAAACAGCTTATCGAGACAATCTGTTGCAGGAGCTATGCTTCAGCAACAGCGGTGCTGGGAACCTCTGGCACAAGCATTGCAATGTCATACAGTTCTGAAATGTGCTACCCTGTTTGGGTGAAGACTTTATTTTTTTCCTCTTTTTCTTCAGCCTGGTGAATTCATACACACACTAGGAGATGCTCATATATATCTGAATCATGTTGAACCTTTGAAAATTCAAGTAAGTATCCATGGTGACTGGAGCCTGGCTATCTTTTTGATATATATCTACCACAGCTGGTTGAACTGATGGTAATCCTGCGTTTTTAGATCTAGTACTTTCATTGTAAATACTATGTTAATTTGCATTGCTGATCCTATGATTTCTTCTCCAATACTACCCTTTACCTATGTTCAACTCTGGTTACAAGTGAAAACACTGTAGAATTTTGATCGAATTAACCACTCTTTTGGTCCAAGTTAGTGTACATCTCTCTGCAAGTCAAAGATGCAAGAATTTGTACTCTAATCTCTATCATTATTGTTACAAAATATTAGTGTCCTTATACTTGTCTTATCAAAACAAAACTATAACTGACTAAATGAATAGAATGCACTTTGATGCATTATATAGTCAGTTTGCAAACCAGTAATTCTTAGTGGGTATTCTTCTGAATAATAAGGCTCTACTGTACTTTTTTTTGGTCTCTGACAGAGACTTGTTCACTTCATATCAATCTTTCCACCTTCTTCACACAAATATCTACATACTATGATAGGACAGAGAATGTTATGGCAGGTGAGGTCTGCCTAACCAAAAGAGCTGTCTAAGTAATCAATTTTCACTGTGCACTGTTTTTTACTTTTGAGCGCTAATCTTGTACAAATGTAAGTCAAACTCTCTTTAATTTCAGCTTCAGAGAGAACCACGACCTTTCCCAAAACTCAAAATTCTTCGTAAAATTGAAAACATCAGTGACTTCAAAGCAGATGACTTTCAGATTGAAGACTATAACCCACATCCAGCTATTAAAATGGAGATGGCTGTTTAATGCACTTAACTTTTTAAACATGATAGGAGTCTGTTTCATAAGTATGTTACCTTCTCTGTACTTAAGCTCAATGTGATGCTCTTAAATGTTGCTAAAACAGTTAAATAACTTTGAAAGGGGTCCTGCTCTAGACCACGGACTGTTCAGAAGCAGGTTAACAGTTGTGAAGTATCTTTAATGAGAAATGTATGTTAATGGAAGTAGGTTGCCTTCCTGCAGGTGACATTGAACCAAATCTTGGTGTAAAAGAAAAAATTAGCCCTGTTTACTAGTCAGTCTTTGAGTTCAGAGATCTCTGTTGGAAGGTGACTCTGGGTTGTATATTTCTACTGTCTATAAATCATTCAGGAATTGGCTGGAGCCCCCCTAAGTTGTTACTGGGTTTAAGTTAATATTTCAAGCTTTTCCTTGTTCTGCACTGTAGCCTGAGCAGTGAGAAGTGTTTAGTCTTGTTCTGTATTAGTTACTTACCCTTATGTATTAGTAAGTATTTAAACAAAACACTTGTTATAGCAGGATTTTTTTAAGCTTGAAAAGTGGTGATAAGAATGTTTAATAAACTTGTATAAATATTTTTAATAGTGTTTGGAAAGTGTGTTGTATCTTTAAGGTCTAGTACTGAATTTGTGCTTGTAACACTAGTATCAAGTAAAGCAAGGTAACTTTCAGAGGATTTTGAGATTTCAAAGGTTTGGCATTGTTCAATTTCAGAACAAAAATCAAAACATTAACTCTCCTACTTGGACTGGGGGCTGTGGAAGTTCTGACTCACAGGCAGGGTACTTGGTGGACTACACTAAAGCTGGGGACTGCAGGCTCCCAAATGCTGCGCTCCCCCTTGGCGGTCGGCAGGTGAGAAGTTGTCAAGAAGCCAGTCAGGCTTCCTACAGAAGTTTGTTGGACACGGATTTCAATTTTGATGAATTGGCAAATGTCTAGTCACAAGTCTTGATACAAATAAAGCATAACACCTAGCTCTGTCAACTCTACCCCCGCTACAGATAACATCAGGGCCCGTTCTGGTCCTTTCATGATGCTGCCCATCTTACCAAGCCATGGTAGTTTATGTACACACATGGTGGCTGAGTAAAAACTTTTGTATTTTCATTAAGGCCCAAACTTACAAACACACAATCAATAGGACAACTCTGAATAGCTCTATACCTAACATGCATCTGAAGTGGTTTTTTTAACCCACGAAAGCTTATGCCAAATAAACAGTCTTTAAGGTGCCACTGCACACCTCGTTGTTTCTGTACTTGCAACAGCTTTTGGTTCCACAACATAACCAATATAAAGTTTTGTATATGATTAGGACAAGAGTAGACAGTAAGGAATTTTATTTTAAATCTCTAAATTCAAATACTTTAGTATAGTGAGAGAAAATCCCTTGGAACAATTTACCAAGGGTCATATTGGATGCTCCAGTTCAAAAGGAATTACTTTGGGGAAATTCTAAGGCTTGTATTATGCAGGAGGACAGATTAGGTGATCACAGTGGTCCCTTCTGCCCTTGGAATCTATGAAAACAGATACTGCAAAGTTACTGATTTGTAGACTAGTTCTAGAAATTCAGTTCATAGTCCACCCATTAGTTACACTAAAGTACAACAACTTTGCTGGAACAGAGGCCCCAGTCATTTCTTTAAACTAAACATCCTGGACTATGTGTTACGTTAATTCCTGGAGGTTTTTGCCTGGTTATACAAAAGCATTTACTGGCAGCTGAAATCTTGTATCACCACCTAACAATAGTGTGTGAACAGCTTGGGAAATTTAATCTGCAGCCTGAAAATTGTCAGGGTTAGGCTTAATGCAGTTGTTTTTTATGGCTTAGAAAGGATCTTCTGCCAAACTTCTCCCTGTGGAAACTGGTATTTCCTTGCAGACTCTTCTTTCATTTCAGTGGAATATCCAGCATCCTACAAGATTAAAAAAAAAATTTTTTTTTATTATTTTTTTTACTGTTTATAAAAAGTGATACTAGCTCTAGTCCCCTCTTCATTCAAACTCAACTGCTGTCATGCACTTGGAGAATAATTATTGTAATCTCTGCTGCTGGGGATCATGCCAGGCTCATTTGTAATGCAAAAAGGTATCAGCTGTAACTAGTGTTAATCTCCTGATGCAAATGTTAAATGGAAAACTAGAGTTCTAAAAAGTCTGGGCTGAACAGAATTGTAGTTAGACAATAATCTTTAGTTTAGGAATATGAGTTTCAGTGAAAAACAGAATATTTTAAAGCATTTCCAGTGGATTATCCTCCCTCATGCCCTCTTCTCCAGCTGGACAGAGAAGTATTAATACTTTTTTACCTAAATTGGTTAGCCCAGCAATGCAGATATATTAAACATCAGTAACTAGAGAATTGCTTTGGGTTGAGGTTTTAAGCCAGGGTCACTCCACTTCCTGAAGCATGTGTGCTGGAATGTACACCTTTCATTTAACAGTTCTGAACCGCCAAACCTATGCAATAGTTTAGTCTAATAGTACATCTCCAACTTTTTCATTCTGCAGATGACTTTGTAAGAGAGCCTTTCACACGCAATCTTAGTTTTAAACTGCTTGTAATTAAGATGCTTTCTTTACTAGGCCACTTAAGTACGGTTAATTATCTCATAGCATACCTGAGGTGGTACATAGGAAGCTTTCTTGATTACGGCAGGATATTTGAAGTGTTCATGCAAATGATCTACATACTCACACATCCTGCAAGAAACAGGAGGGATGGTTTTCAGTTTTACCTAATCTTGTACTTATTCATGGTTATTATCCCTGGCAAGGAAACAAGGTTTGGGTAAGAGTTGGACTGATATTTGTATCCCAATTATCAGCAAATTAGGAGGCTTCCTTTTAGAAGCAGAAACTACTGCTACATAGTGCTTCATATTGATAAACTGGAATCTGCTTGGCATTTTAGCCTAGAGAGGACTGGTGGTCTCAATAAAATAAGCCAGAACAAGAATACAGGGCAGAAGATGGGCCCTTTGGGCAGAATGTAGGGTTTGGAGAGCAAGATAAAAACTTCGTTTTTCAATACAGACAGAGATGAGTAAAATTATACAGAAGAGCTGTGTTTACTGATTGTGGATTTTCCAAAGTACCACAAAAGCTTGATTCTTATGCTAGCCAACGTGGATACAGAATGAACAAGACTATTTTCTGCAGCCAGGGAAGTCACTAATGAGGGCAGCTGAAGGGCTGGGTCTGCTCCTTAGTTTATGAATTACCCAGAACATTGCTGTGGCTGTAGGCCAGCAAAATTTACCAAACATGGTCTAAGGCAATTTTAAATTATACTGCTTCAGAGACAAGGAAGATCAAAACATGAAGAATGGTTTATGATACAACTGATTTTAAATGTGAGCAAAAGGTGAAGCTACAATATTTGACTTTAATATTTGCAAGACAACTAGTGTGAGGAACAGGAATATACAGCCAACAGGAGAGATTCAGGAAATTTGTGTTTGCAATAATGTGAAAAAAATTGTTCATTGCTCACAAAGAAGGCTAATACGATCCGAAGCAGATATTAAACAGGACAAGGGAAGTTGTTAGATCCTTTGGGGAAGCTACACCTAGAACACTATTCAGCTTAGAGCAGGGAGCTAATCCTTTGGTCATGCATGTGTTGGCCTGCCATTGTAGTTATTGGGGGAGGAGGGGTTGTAGGAGTGAGAGAGAGATGCCAAAATATAGTTCCAAGAGTATCAAGCAGTCTTTGTCAAAAATATTCCTGGCTGTTTGCCAGGCAATTGCCAGAGTGAAGTTCACACACTTCTGACTGGTTTAAAATTCTCTGGGAGAGCCACAGGGAGGTGAGTTGAGGTGTGTTGTTTTTGTTTACCGGTTATTGCATGTCAACAGCCTTTTGGAAAAATAAGCCATCACCACTATTGAATGTTACAGTAGCATTTTACATTACTCACCTGTTTTCAAGGCTTCCAGATACTGAAATATAGTCAAATATTATCAAGTGCTGTATCAACTCACAGAGCCCAACACCCCCAGCGTGAGGGCAAACAGGAACTGAAATGAAAACAGAACAATCCCTGTTTAAACCAATCTGAAGAGTAAAGGCAAATGACTGGATTATTCAGAAAGCTTGTGTACCAACTCAGCTGGTGTTTAACTGCAGCTCCAATACCACCACCCCCCCTCCCCAGCCCTACGGAAACTCAGCTCCCAATAATAAGGGACCAAAGGCATTTTGAATTAGTACTAAAGCATGACAGAAAACAAATGACTGAACCACACACAAGCGCATGCTCATGAGTTAGCAACACGACAGCTGAAGAAGTTGCATGGCAAACTGGCTTAGAACAAAAGAGGTGTTAGTGCTACTGACATACTTCCAAGAGCCTTACTTTGAAACTTTTTGGCCATCAGCAACACAGACAAGTTTTCATTCACACTTCCCAGCCTGCAGCTGTCAATCTGGAGATAGCTCAGGGCCTTAGCCTGTAGGAGCTGCTTAAATATCACTCTATTGTGACACTGCAGCAGGGAGGGAAGGGGGAAGAGAAAAAAAAAATGTTAAGCCCCAGATTCTAAGGAATTGGCAGGATATTACAAGAACTGTTGGCATTGCAAGTCAAAACAATTGCACAATGTTCCCACTAGGTTTCCCATTAAAACCAAGTTCTTTTTGTTGTACCACTTAGCTGGAACAATGCACAGAAGTGCAGAGGATTGCAAAGCATTTTACAAACATTAAAGAATCACAGTACAGTTGTAAGGTAGGCATAGTAGAATTACATCCATTTTACAGCTCTCTGAACTGAGGCACACAGAAATGTCACTATTTGCCTAAATTCACAAAGCAATTCAGTGGCAGAGCTGGGATCAGAACTGAGTCCTAATTCCATGTTTTTTGTTTTAATTGCCAAGCAAAACTCCTGCTCTTAATTGCATGATACCCCTTATAGGAATGACTGGGCTACTGCAGCACTCAGACGGCAGGAGTGAATACACAGTGGTTTTGTTGGCTGTGGAAGACTATTTCTTCTCCTGGACGCCTGCAGACCACTCCAATGAGATGATTAGGGCCCTACCAAATTCACAGCTGTGAAAAACATGTCACAGATTGTGAAATCTGGTCTTTTGTGAACTTTTACCCTACTATACAGATTTCATGGGGAGACCAGCATTTCTCAAACTGGGGGGGCTTGACCCCAAAAGGTGTCACAGGGGCGAGGGGTGCTGCAAGGTTATTGTGGGGGCGGGGGGGGTGTCACAGTATTGCCACCCTTACTTCTACACTGCTCTGAAGGCAGCACCCTGCCATGCCAACCTTACTTCTGTGCTGCTGCCTTCAGAGCGGGGCAGCCGGAGAGTGGTGGCTGCTGGCTGCGGGCCCAGCTCTGAAGGCAGTAGTACAGAAGTAAGGGTGGCAATACCGTGGCTCCCCTCCTCCCCCCCCAAATAATCATGCGACCTCCCCACAGCCCCCTTTGGGGTCAGGACCCCTAAAGTTACAACACAATGAAATTTCAGATTTAAATAGCTGAAATCATTAAATTTACTATTTTTTAAAACCTATGACTGTGAAATGGATCAAAATGGACTGTGACTTTGAT